CTTTACTATTTACTATTCATTACTATAAACATTTTCTGTATGAAACAAAAACAATTTCCTCTGCCAACATCACATAAATAAAATCAACTAATGCAAAATTATATACATAAATAGAAAACAAAATATTTTTCCGTGTAGTTGCCACAGTCATCAAAAGTAGACCGTTGTGAAGGTTGCTCTTTCTTTGACAACGAAATCGATTGGTTCCATCTCCAATTATAGCAAGAATGTGTGCACCAACACTTTGACGATCATTCAAGTCATGAGTATGAGTCTGCTCATATGTCATCATACATTGGTGAAATTAGTATTCCGAGATAAAGCACGTAGAAAACAATGTGAAGAAATGTAATAACGATCACCTTATGTGCAAAAACAATCTGATCACAGTACATAATATAACTTAATTGATTCATGCAATCTATCATAATCTGAATTCAAACAAGCAACTTCCACAAAAATAGATTTGAATTGCATGTGATCCAAAAATTGTGAAGAATGAATCGTGACAGTGGTGGTATTGTTATACAAATAAAAACGTGAAACACAAAAATATAACCACATATGGAAATCAGTCACATGTGAGACGTTCGGATGGAAAAAATCTAACCAAATACGGACAAATCAATCAAAAAAATCATGAGATCATAGCATTTCATATATGTTTATGTAAAACACTCGTGAAATGTTAGAATGAACCAAAGTTTGACTTGTGGAACTGAGTGGAGGGAAGGACTGAACTGTCGTTCTGGACAGTTCATCTGTCGACTGTTTCATCTATCGAGAATTATCGAGGCTAATTGTCGAAATCGATAGTTAGGCGCGATAGCATTTCTCTACATTAGTGAACTGTCGACAGATAAACTATCGAGAAATCTACTTTTCACCTCTAAGCAAATAGGTATTATTGAAACTTATTTCACTCCATATTCGAGCATAACAAAATATTAAAACCACAGGTATGCTGTCAACTGTATAGCAAGAGTTCAACCCAAATACGCGTACCTCCGACAACAAATGGATTCCAAGTAATAGTAATGTTATTTCCACATCACACAAGTACCAAAAATATTGAACATTCAAAATACTTGAAATTTGGACTTTAAAAGCAAAGGAAGAGGATAAATATTAAATTGGAACCTTAAATAATTTTTTCCCTCAACATTAGTGTTGGCACGTGTTACGTGTGCATATATGCATCACTAATAGAAGATATATAAAAAAAGAGAAAATTAAAATTTATGGTATGAAATTGTAGAAAGTTGGGGAAAAACATTTCTAATCATAACACAACAAAAAATTATTCAAAATGTCCAAAAAAATTACTGAATATCAAAATGATTTTTACCTCTTTCTAATCCAAGCCCCAGCTCTTATTTTAAATCGAGCAAAAAGCTCCATTTTTTGCATCTCATAAACCCCTTACAGATAAAAATATCACAAAAATTGAGTAAAAAAAAATAAGATTTTTCTCTCTTGGATTAAAAAAAGAGAAAATTAAAATTTATGGTATGAAATTGTAGAAAGTTGGGGAAAAACATTTCTAATCATAACACAACCAAAAATTATTCAAAATGTCCAAAAAAATTACTGAATATCAAAATTTTTTTTACCTCTTTCTAATCCAAGCCCCAGCTCTTATTTTAAACCGAGCAAAAAGCTCCATTTTTCGCATCTCATAAACCCCTTACAGATAAAAGTATCACAAAAACTGAGTAAAAAAAAAATAAGATTTTTCTCTCTTGGATTGTAACCCGTAATGAGAGAAATGAGAGAGAAAGAGAGTGAGTGAGTGAGTGAGAGTGTTAGAGTTGTTTGAATGAGAGAAATAAAATTCATCTATTTTTTTTTCCAACTTTTCATCTATGACATTGACAAGATTTTTGTACAATTTCTTCTATTGGGTCAAATCTCATTTAATTAGGACATGTATGGAATTTGAAATTATTTTCAGGGACAAATATGTCTTAAATTGACATTCTTGCAATGTTTAAAAAAAATTGACATTTTTGTAAATATCTTGAGAAAAATTGACATTCTGTGCAATTTCCTCATATAAATTTAAAATGAGTTTTTAATGGGTGACTTGTTTAAAAATAAAAAAAAAAAATTTTATTTTTTTCTTTACGACCTGCCCCGCCCCTCGTCAAACCGTTTGGATTGATTTTTTTACCCCACTCGGAGCCAGGCCTCGTCGAGTCGGGGTGGGGCGAATTTTTTTACCATCACTAATCTCATGACGTCTGCAATAAAATTAGACTTTTTTTTTTTTAACAAAGTCAGTCAGGTCGGACAGGTTTAATCTGTTTTCATGGGTCAACCCATGACTCCACCCAACCTGAACCGCCTCCTTCACCCAAAACCCAAACCCAAACAAAAATTTTAAAAAACTGACCCGAAAATATTTTGTTGGTTAATGTTGGTCAAAACTTTGCAAGTTTCCTGTTAAATTTTTTTCTGGGTTAAGAAAATATAGCCCTTGTTCGAGCCCCATTTTTTTGGGAAGAATAAATTTTTGAATAGTGCATTGATGGAAAATATGTAGTTAAAATGATGTCAAAACAATGTTAAAAAATGAAATTTTCCAAAAAAAAAGGGGCTCAAACAAGCATAATAATATATCCTGATATATGTAAGAGAAAAGTTTTACTTGTGAGCTACGATGATTCATAAGTTTTTTCTCATTGGTTTTGTAGTTAATTAGGTAAGAGCTTGCAATTTGTAAATTATTTTGTTAGTTTTTTAAAAGGTTGAACCCCAACCTTAGGGGCCCCCACCGACCCTACCCTGGGCCATCGTGGAGGAGGTAAATCGCAGGATGTGCCTCCTAGGAGCCAGGGTGGAGAGCATATGAATAGGCCAAGATTATTAACCCATATGGTAACTCCCGCTTGCAACAAAGTCAATTCCACCTTGCGGGGAACCGAACTCTGCACACTGCCGCGCTGAGCCCTATCCGCCATCCCCTTTGCCACTGGGAGATATTGTGAGTGCGTAACAT